TTCATCTGTAAAATGGGACCCAGAGTAAGGGGTTGTAATGACCATATGAGCCAATGCCTTCAACGTGCTTATCACACAGAGGAAGAAGTCGATACTAGTGTGTTGTTTTCATCGGTACTGATGGCAAATGGTGTGGACTCTGTTGCTGGGCAAGGCGCTCTTCTTAGAGCCAGTCTGTGTACACCTGTGTCCATTCCAAACATTATTTCTAATGGCAATAAAGCTCTTTATGAGGACAGCGGCCATCCTGGGGACCTGCCTACAGAAGGGTGGCTGATTTCTGCATGTTGATCGCCCAGATTCCCTTGATTCCAGGTCAGCCTGAAGATGATGACAGCCATCTGTCTTTCCCCTGCCCAGAAGACCAGCTCTGCAGGGCTGGAAAGGCCTGCAAGCTACATCTTGACCAGCCCTTTTCCCTGGGGTAGGAATGCCAGGAGGAGAAGTGATCTATTGGAGGTTCGTGCCGTGTTCCTAGACGGAGGACCACAGGGCAGCCTGGTGGCATGGAAAAGAGTGTCTGTATTGAATTCTTGGCTTCTGTGTTGGATTACAGGCTGAGTGTCTTCACCGGACTTCAGTTTCCTCATTTGACAAATGGGGTAGTAATAGAGCCTACTTCTCAGGGGTGTTGCAAAGATTACATGAGTATGCGTGTAACATATAGCAAGCCCTCTGTGAATAGCATTCCTATTACTCATGTCTCTACTCTCTATTTCCCCTTCAGCACTCTCTGGCCATACCACACTGGAAACACACAGTGCATTGATTTTTGGATTTCCTTTCAGCTGCGAAGCTGTCTGGAGTAGCAGAGTTGATCTGGGATTCCAGTCTGGGAACCTGATTGAAGCCCGATTCTGCCTCTCTGTTGCTCTGGGACCTTCCACTGCTCACTTTCCATCTCTGGCCTTCAGTTTCTTCCTCTATTAAAACACTGTCCAATAGAAATATAATGTGAGCCACATATATAATTTTAAATTGTTTATTAAAAATAGAGAAAATGAATTTTAATAATATAATTTTCTTAACCCATGTATCCAAGATATTATCATTTCAACAAATCATCAGTACTAAAAAATTATAAATGAGATATTTTGCAGGTTTTTTTCCCTTACTAAGTTTGAAATCTGGATGGTTTTCAACCTTGGGCAATTTTGGCAATTGTCTGGGATGTTTCTGGTTGTCATGAGGGAGGTAGGGGATGGGCAGGGAGTGCAGGTATGTGTGCTACTGGCATCTAGAGGGCAGAGACCGGAGATGCTGCTAAACATCCTACAATGCATAGGACAGCCCCCACAACAAAGAATTATCTAGCCCAGAACATAAACAGTGCCTGTGTTACACGTACAGTCTAGCACAGTTCCGAGTAGCCAAGTTCTCAGTGGTTACGTGGCGCTGGTGGCTGCCGTCCTGGACACTACAGCTCTATAACATAAAACATTTAGACATGCCCGTAGAGAAGCCACGTTTATAGGAATTTGGGTTTTGGTAAATTTGTTTTTTCTGCTCACCCCCAAAGAACTGGCCAAATGAGATGTGGCTGGTTCCCCAGTGCCTGGCTGGCTAAGGACAGAGCCCATCTGTCCCAGGCTGGTCAGACTCTTCCAAAGCCACCCGCCCTCCCTGAGAGACTGCGCCTGGGACAGACAGGGAACCCCTTGTTCTTTCCTGGGGAGACAACGCTGCAGGCCCTGCTACCTGCCTGACAGGGCTATTGTGGCTCAGGGAGAAAAGGGCTTTGTCAGGACAGCAGCTAGGAGCCTGCAGTTCAATGGGGCCCTTTATGTCTGCGCTCCTAGGACACCCTGAGAGGCAGCCCTGCGGAGGCCCTGCCCCCTCCTAGAACAAACAAGATCCTTGGGGGCCAGAGAGGGTGTGGAAGACCCTCCAGTAGGCCCCAGCTCCCTCCACCTCAGCCCACGGCCCTAAAACATAAAGTCCGCCTAACTCTGAAAAGCGCTGTCTCAAGGCACCGGATGAACTCAGGACTGCCCTTAACTCTGGGACAAAGGGGTCCAACCCTGCATGTACCCTGAAATGTAGTGGCTCCACAAATCACAAACATATACAAAAATAAATGTATTAACAGCACACGGGCGCCAGTATCTCAGGATCTGGGCTCAGCACTGGCACAACGCACTGCAATCTCAACAGCTCTCATGATCTAAAAAAGGCCAGGCCAGAGGGACACACTCCACCTCCCTGCCCTGTTTTTACGACTCCACAACAGTAACACAGACCTTCCATCACGCTACATTTTAATGGTTATTTGGAAAACATCAATCTCGAGATAGCCGATCCCATTTTGTTTCCCCCCATAATACGTAAGGTTCTGGGGAGACAGGGGCTGTGTATGACTCATTCTGACGCCCAATCACTTCTTTCTTTGGATTCGCCGAGCTTCTATCACCCATTCATCCCACATGTATACCGACCGCCTGCTGGGCCCTCCGTGCGGTCCGTGCCGGTGCCCAGCACCCTCAGGCCTGTGTGCAACGGGTGCAGGAGGCAGGGCGGCAGGGAGGGGAAACCCCAGGGTCCTGGATCCCCCAACTGGCAGCAGCGTCCCCTCGCAACCCCACGGTCCCACTTTCACCTTGGCCAGAAAATTGCCCCCTCTCCCGCCATCCTGGGGACCATCACCTCTGTCCCTGGAGAGGCAACTGGGTGCTAGTCCTGGCTTCGGAGAGGGGTGGCGCCCGGGGACCCGCCCCCTCGCCGGCTGCCCCGGGGGAGGGGCCGTGACTCGCTCGCGGGGAGCCCGGCACCCTCCGCCCCCGAGAGGGCGTGCGCCCCTCTGCGGGCAGCTCGAGTGCGGGGGACCCCGGCCCACGGAGTTGCCCAAGACACCGGGTGACTCCTCCCCG